CTTCATTTCTGACTGCAATATTTGCCATTTTTCATTACTTCATTTCTGACTGCAATATTTGCCATTTTCATTATTACATTTCTGACTGCTGACTGCAATATTTGCCATTTTTCATTATTAAATTTCTGACTGCAATATTTGCCATTTTTCATTACTTCATTTCTGACTGCAATATTTGCCATTTTTCATTATTTCATTTCTGACTGCAATATTTGCCATTTTTCATTTCCAGTATTTCATTTCTGACTGCAATATTTGCCATTTGGACTGAATCGTATACATGCTATTTATTATATTTATTATGTGCAGTAGAAAAAACGATTATTTTCAATTTTTTTGATGCATTTCGTTGAGTATTTTTCATTATTATAAAATTCCAAAGTGAGTAATATGAACTGAATTATTAACTTGATTGAAATAAATTTTGATTATTTTCTTAACTTCAATGCACTTTTTCTGGTGGTATCAGGTATACTTTTACAATTTTAATGGTTGGTTGTGGGATTTTGACAACTTTTTATAATATATGGTCCACTGTTACTTGTTTGTGAACTGGCGTCTGTGGTGTAGCTGTTAGGCACTTCGCTGTCACACGCTGGAGACCCGAGTTTGACTCCCAAGTGGGGAGACAGTTTTATTATCAATGATCTGTCTTTTATCAGGATGTTATTTCCCTCTCAACCCGGGTCTGTCTGCTGGGATGTTGTATCCCTCGGCTCTCAGGCCGGGTCTGTCTGCTGGGATGTTGTATCCTTCTCAGCCAGGGTTGGCCCTGACAGGCAGGGTCGGAAGCCTGCATCAGTAATGATCTAAGTTGTGTTGGTGGGGGTGTAAAAACATCTACGTGAAAATATATATAAACGTCTTTGCCATGTCCACCAGACGCAATGTGACAGGAAGTAGAGTTGACCTGTACCACCCACACCATGTGACAGGAAGTAGAGTTGACCTGTACCACTCATTCCATGTGACAGGAAGTAGAGTTGACCTGTACCACCCATGCAATGTGGCAGGAAGTAGAGTTGACCTGTACCACCCATGCAATGTGACAGGAAGTAGAGTTGACCTGTTCAGCATTCCCAGACACATCAGCCCACTTTTGCCTGCCAGAGTTATCTAGATGTACCGTATTTTAAGTATGCCCATCCAAACGAAAATAAAAAATGATATGTAAGATCACGTAGAAGCAGGATGCTATGTCCTAGTTGTAGGAAAATTATCTGCACCTTTTTACGTAAATACTGGAGTTAGACAAGGCTGCATACTATCACCTGTACTTTTTGAAATTGTGATTGATTTTGTAATGAGACAGAGCAAAGACATAGAAACAGGCATTGGATGGACAAATGGTACATATTTAGACTTTGCGGATGACATCTGCCTGTTAAACACCACAGAACATGAAGCACAAAAGAAAAACTAAACCAATGAATTACCTTGTAATAAATGTGTCCAAAACAGAAGTACTACAACTATCACCAGAAGCTGGTCAAATCTACGCTCACACAAAGTGTGAACAGTTTGTTGCAAAATAAAATACAGCTTGTGGAAACGGTTAGATAATATTAAATAAAATACAGCTGGGGGAGGCAGTAGAAAAAAAGAAAATATAATACTGCTAGTGGAGATGGTTGGAAAATAGTAGATAGAATAGAGCATGGGGAAACGGTTTTAAAAAATGAAATAAAATACAGCTAGTGGAGACGGTTTTTAAATTTATGAAATAAAATACAGTTAGAGGAGACGGTTGGAAAATTGAAAATAAAATACGGCTAATGGAGACGATTGTACGATAGAAACATAAAAAACAGCTAGGGGAAACGGTTGTAAAATAGAAAATAAAATACAGTTGGAGGAGACTGTTAAAAAATATATAATAAAATACAGCTACGGGAAACGGTTGAAAAATAGAAAATAAAAGTCAGATGGAGATGGTTGGAAAAAATAAAATAAAATACAATCAGTGGAGATGGTTAGAAAATATTAAATAAAATATAGCAAGTGGAGACGGTTGGAAATTAAAAAGTAAAATACAGCTGGTTGAGACGGTTGCAAAATATAAAATAAAAAATAGCTAGTGGAGACGGTCGGAAAAAAGAAAAGAAAATAGGCTAGGGGAAATGGTTTTAATATAGAAAAAAAATACAGCTAGTGTACACAGTTTGAAAACAGAAAATAAAATACAGCTCCTCAAGACAGTTGGAAAAATAGAAAATATAATAATACAGCTAGTGGAGACAAATAATATGAAATAAAATGCAGCTAGAGAAGACTTGAAAAATAGGAAAATATAATACATCGAATCTCCTTTATTTAAAGGAGACTGTTAAAATATAGAAAATAAAATAAAGATAGTTGAGACGGTTGAAAAATAGCGAAAATAAAGTAGGTCTACAGATAGTGGAGACGGTTGTAAAATATGAAATAAAATACAGATAGAGGAGACGGTTGTAAAATATAAAATAAAATACAGCTAGTGGAGATGGTTGGAAAATAGTAAATAAAATACAGCTAGGGAAGACGGTTTAAAAAGAAGAAAAAAATCCAGCTAGGCTAATGGAGACGGTTGGAAAGTAGGCCTATAAAATAAAATACAGAAAGGGGAGACGGTTGGGAAAAAAAAAATTAAAAGTAGCTAGAGGAGACGTTTGGAAAATATGAAATAAAATACAACTAGTGGAGACAGTTTTTAAAAATAAAATAGATCTAGGGCAAACAGTTGGAATATAGATAATATAATAGATCTAGGGCAAACGGTTTTAAAATATAAAATAAAAGGGAGTGCTTATTTAGGCCACATATGGCCTTAATAGGCTACCCCCCCCCTCCCTTACCTTATTTAGGCCACATCATATGGTAGATTTCTTGAACTAACCATGGATTCGGAAGGTCGAGATTCTACTGATCTTTTTATTTAGTGCGAGGAATTTTTCAAAATAGAGGATGATACTAAATGAAAAGTGGACTAAGGGTAAGAGTTGTGTGTGTGTGGTTGTTTTGTGTGTGGTTGTGGTGAGAGAGAGAGAGTAAATGTAATAGTGTGTGTGTAATGTGTGAATGTTATTGTGTGCCTGAGTGTCTATCTCAATTGTACGGTCCAAATACATCATCATTGCCTTTCTCACCCTGGGTCATGATATAGGCCACGAACAAACACTCTCCACCTTTCCCTATCCTGGGCTAGTCGCTTGATGTCACTCCACGTCTTCCCACTTATCTGTACATCCATTTCCGTGACTCTTCTCCAGGTTCCACGAGGTCTTCCCCTTGATCTTTTACCCTGTGGGTTCCAATCTAACACTTTTCTTGTTATGCAGCTGCTTGACTTCCTGAGAGTGTGTCCAATCCATCGCCAACGTCTTCTTCCCACCTCATCTCTGACCGGACTCTGTCTGGTTCTTCTTAATACTTCCTCGTTGGTGATCCTGTCTGTCCATTTGATCCTCAGCAGCCTCCTCAGACACTTGTTCAAGAAAACCTGGATCCTCTTTATGCACGTATGGGATGTGTTCCACGTCTCACATCCATACAACAAGACTGACTTCACATTTGAGTTGAAAATTCTGAGCTTTGTTCGTAATGAGATATCCCTGGTCCTCCAAATCCTGCTCACAAAGAAATAAATGCAGCCTGTGCCTTTCCAATGCAGGACTTTATTTTCCGCACCTGTTTCCCTCTCTTTGTCAATTATTATACACTCAAGATAGCAGAAGGATTCGACGTCTTCTAGTGCATTTCCTTGTACTGTGACCTGCTCCTTTCGCAGTGCATCTATCCTTAGGACTTTCGACTTTGCAGGGTGGATCCTCAATCCAACAGACTCTGATAGGCTGTTTAAACTTGTCGTCCTTGCCAGCAGTTTTGATTTTGCTGCCTAGGTAGGTAAATGTGTCTGTTATAGGGAGGTTTGTGTTGTTCAGCGTTGGGGAGCCTACATTCAGTGTCATCACTTCTGGCTTATTCTTAACCCAATCTGGCGTCCGTATTTGTGGAGTCGGTTTGTTTTTTTCCTGCATGTGCTGGCTGGTATGGGAGAGTAGTGCAAGGTCGTCGGCAAAGTCAAGATCCTCGAGGGTGGAGAAGAGAGTCCACCTTATGCCTCTTGATGCATCCTCTGTTGTTTTCCTCATGACCCAGTCAATGGCCAGGTTGAACAGAATTGCTGACATGTTGCATCCTTGTCTAACTCCTGTCTTTACCTCAAAAGCAGTGGTACTGTAGTGTTATCTTATGTTACCTTTTACTTCCAACGCATAGATCTTGTGGGTCCCCGGGCGCCCGGCGACTGCTGTGTGTTGTCTCTGTTACTGCTAGGACTGACGCTCTCTCTTCTCACGTTGAGTTTTTAGTCTCCAGTCGATCTTGTTAGTACTCATCAGTGCAGGGGGAAAACTGCTACCCGTGCACAACCAATTAGCCAGAAAGTCGCCCCCAAAACGTGAAAGGCTAAAATATTGGCCCTACATTACCCCCCTCCCAGTGCTGTGAACAGTGCGGATAGTACGATGCACTATGCACGAAATAATTGTTTATCCCTACAGGTCCAACCTCTCAGTTCAGGAGGCCTGATTGTAGGCCTACGTCCTGTCCGTGTGGACTGGAGGGTGGATGCGTCGGGGTGTTAAAAACTTTTCCAAGTTGAATGTTGGCATTTGATATGTATGCTGGCTTTAAACGATCAACTGATACTTTTTCTTCGCGTCCTTTCAAATCCAAAGTGAAATATTTGTCATGGGTATTTAAAGATCTTGAATGGACCATCATACGGTCTCTGAAGTGGTTTTCCCTGCGCGTCGTGGCGAACATAAACATATCCCGTTGCAGCAAGATTGCTAGGTAGGCCTACATAGGACGTTTGACTCCAGTCCTCGGGAATCTGCTTTCCCTCCCATATGGCTTTGAATAGTGGATGAAGAATGGTGGCAGTCAGTTCTGGGTCTACTTTAAACAATTCAGCATTCAGGTTGTCCATTCTTGGAGATTTTCTTGATTTCAGGCTCTTAATTTACAATCTCGTGTTTCTGTGGTGGGTCAGAGCTGATATCTAGATCCAAGGTAGCTTCCTGTATGTCAGGGGTGTCCTCAGGTGGAGGTTGGTTTAGGACTGCCCTGAAGTGTTCTGTCCAGCGTGCTTCTTGTTCCTTCTCGATTATCAGCAGCTTGCCACTCATTCCGCTGTGGTGCTTGCCACATATTATTCTTGTGATCTTGTATACGTTGCCTTGTTCACCTTTAGCAGCTGCCTCCTCTGCCTCAGTTGCCAACTTTTCCGTGGCTTCTCTTTTGTCCTTCCTGACCAGTCTTTTAACTTTCTGGCAAGCTTCCTTATAATCCTCTGCGTATTTCTCCTGTAACCGTATCGACTTAGCTGCAAGCTGTCTTTTCTTGATTTCTCTCCGTTCTTCAATAGTATTCCAAGTTCCTTGCTGTATCCATTCTTTGCTTGCATTCTTT